ACTTGCTGTCTTCAGGACAGCTCAAGGAGAACGGCGTGACGCTTCATGACGACGGCGGAGAGATGCTGCTGGTGTCTTCTACCGGCGATGTCCTTGGTCGAGCACGCTACTCCGGCAGAGTTCTCTGCACCAACCTGCGCCCCTGCTCGACGAAGTCTACGACGACTTCGACGGAGGTTGTGGCTCTGCGGACGATCGCGTCTGCGACGAAGTCGACCCCGGACATGTGGCGCGCTCGACTTGCGCACATCGGCGTCGACACGATTAAGAGCTCGGCGAAGCATGAGGTCGCTGCTGGTTTGGACATCAAGAAGTCGACCGCAGATGATCTGCCGTGTGCCTCCTGCGTTGGCGGCAAGATTGCGCGGCACACCTTCCCCGACCAAGGATCGGAGGCAGAGAATGCGCTCGACGTGGTGCACGTCGATCTCTGCGGGCCGTTTCGAGTGGCCGCCAACGATGGCAGTCTCTACTTTCTTCTGTTGAAGGACAGGAAGACTCGCTTCGTGTGGGTGAGGCCGCTCGCAAAGAAGAGCGACGTGCTGATCTTCTTCGAAAAGTGGCTGAAGGTGGTGGAGAGACAGACTTCGAAGACAGTGAAGATGCTGCAATCTGACAACGGAGGGGAGTTCCTCGGTCGCGCCTTCACCGACCTCGTCGAAGATAAGGGCATTCTCCACAACTTGACGTGCCCCTACACTCCGCAGCAGAACGGCATGGCAGAGCGGGAGATGCGCACGGTCGTCGAGGCCGTGCGGACGATGCTTCTGCACATGGGCGTGAAGCACCACTGGTGGCACCTTGCTCTGCGACAGGCTGTCTGGGTGCGCAACTGCCTTGAACGGGCTACTCTGCCTTCGGGGATGACGCCGCACAAGCTGCTGTTCGAGAAGAAGCCGGACTTGACGTTGGCGCGCGTGTGGGGCTGCATGGTGCAGTTCATGGTCCCCGAGCAGCGGCGCGGCGGGAAGGTGGCGCCGAAAGGCCTGTTGGGGTCTTCACCTCGGAGTGTCGGCAGAGAGCAAGGGCTGGGAGGTGCTCGACTTGACGGACAACAAGGTCGTCACGACGGTCGAAGCGATCTTCTACGAGACCCTGTCGATGGAGATGTGGAAGGTGGAGTACGGGCCGGCGTCGATGAGGACACCCTCTACTCCGCCGACCGATTCCTCCTCGGTGCACACTCCACTGCTCGCCGCGGACGACGAGCTTGATGAGGACGACGCAGACGACGTTCAGGGTTCCTCGTCGGTCGCCGGCGATGAGGGGAGACTTGGTGCGTCGCCTGCGGCGCTGTCCGGTTGCATCGCCGGTGGCCAACGTGACGCCGAGAAGCCGTCGGGAAGCGGCAGACGACAGGGGAGTCGTCGACGTCGAAGAAGACCGCAGAGACGCCGTCGGCAGAGGAGCCAACTGCAGAGAAGCCGTTGGCAGAGCAGCCGACCGCAGAGAAGCCGTCTGCAGAGGAGCCGACCGCAGAGAAGCCGTCGGCAGAGGCGCCGACCTTAGGGGAGCCGTCGGTAGAGGAGCTGCCGACAGGGGAGCAGTTTGACGACGACTCGTCGAGCGACGTTGTGGAAGTCGTCGGTGCGGCCGACGGCGATGAAGGGGAGCTATCGACAGGGGAGCAGTTTGACAATAGCGACGTGGTGGAGGTCGCGGTCGAAGAGGCGAAACTGCGACGGTCTGCCCGCCCCAACATTGGCAAGCCGCCTGAGAAGCTGAGCTACCACGCTTGTCTGCTGCCGACGGCCTACAGCACTCTGCTCGATGATGCAGAGGACGACGTCGATCTGCCCGAGCTCGACCCCGACATGCACGCCGACCCAGAGCATCGCTGGGACATCGCCAACATGACGGTGAAGGAGGCGTTGGCGAGCTGGAAGGGCAAGGCGGTGAAGGCCGCCATGGACGAGGAGATCAAAAGTCTTATCTCTAACGGGACGTGGGAGCTGGTCGAGCGTCCGCGTGGAGTCAACATCATGAAGAATCGTTGGGTACTCACGACGAAGTACCACGCCGACGATACGGTCGCCCGCGAGAAGGCGCGTCTGGTGGTGAAGGGCTTCACGCAGATCTACGGCGCAGACTACGATGAGACGTACGCGCCGGTGGGGAGCTACGTAACTCTGCGGATCTTCCTCAGCATCGTAGCAGTCCTCGACTTGCATCTGATGCAGCTGGACATGAAAAACGCGTTTCTGCAAAGCAAGCTGGACCGCGTCCTCTACATTTACCGGCCCGACCACTACAACGACGGAACTGGCCGCGTCTGCAAGCTGCTGAAGAGCTTGTACGGCCTGAAGTAGAGTCCGCTGCTGTGGTACAAGGCGCTCGACGATGTGCTAACTGGCTGGAAGAAGAGTCAGGTCGATGAGGCTCTCTACTTCAAGGTCGGCGGCGACGGAGTGGCGTGCTGAGTGCTCGTCTACGTCGACGATCTGCTCGCTGCAAGCAGCAGCACTACGATGCTGAAGGAGCTGAAGGAGCTGCTGGAGGCCGCCTTCGAGCTGCGCGAGATCAAGCCGGTCGATAAGTATCTCGAGCTGGAAATCGTACGCGACCGTCCTGCGCGGAAGCTGTGGCTTCACCAGCAAGTCTACGTCGACAAGCTGCGTCGGCGTTTCATCGACGAGGAGCAGACCGGGAGAGTGCCGAAGACTCCGGTCTCCGTTGACGCCTATGCAGAGCTGTTGTTCGACAACGAAGAGTTTCAGTCGCGCGAGGAAGCAACGTACAGGCAGAAGGTTGGCTCGCTGCAGTTCGCGGCCACCACGACGAGGCCCGACATTGCCTTCGCGTGCAGCAAGCTTGGATCCGGCCTGACTGTGCGGAGCGACAACCATTGGCGTGAGGTCGATCGCTGTCTGCTCTACCTCGCTGACACCCATGACGCTGCTCTGGAGTTCGGCGGCGGACCAGACTCGCTGTGTATGGTCGGCTATGCAGACGCCGACGACGCTGGCGACAAGCAGAATCGGACGAGCACGGGGGGGCTACGTTTTCGTCTTCGGAGGAGCCGCAGTCTCCTGGTTGAGCCAGCGCATCAAATGCGCGACGCTCTCGTCGACCGAATCAGAGTACCTCGCGGCCACGGAAGCTGGCAAGGAGGCTCGCCGTCTACGCTTCCTCCTTGCAGAATTCCGCCTGCTCGACGCAAGGCAGCCGACTGTTCTGCACGTGGACAATCAGTCGGCAATCACGGTCGCAGAGGGCTTGGGGCTCAAGGGCAACCTCAAGCACATGGAGCGACGCTACGCATGGCTGCAGCAGATGGTGAAGCGCGGGAAGATTGCTCTGCAGTACATCCCAACCACCGAGCAGCCGGCAGATTTTCAGACGAAGGCGCTGCATTTTCCGGCTTTCAACCGGCGCTCCGTCGCAATCGGCCAAGTGCGTCTGGCCGACGTGGGCGACGGGGATGACGAGGTGCAGCAGTAGGTGTCGTGCCCTTCTGCACGGCTGGTACGGTGATCTGCGTGCTATGTGTTGGGTGCACGCAGAAGGAAATTTCTCCTTGTATTCTATCCCTCTGGGTTCTGGGTGGACCTTATGTGTGGGTGCCCAAGCGTGAGCTGGGCAGGGGAGTGTCGAAGAGAAAGGCCCCGCCCTCGCTTGGGCGCAGCCGATCTCGCCGTCGACAAGAAGTCCTCGACGAAGTGGTCGTCGAGTGGGCTTCTGCGGTTCGACGGAGGTAGTGGTCGAGCAATCTTTGCCCGACGGAATTTGGTGGACATCGTCGACGGGCAGCACTGGTCGAAGACAGCGGTCGAGGAGGCCCGTCGAGGAGCGATGGTCGACGAGGTCCGTCGAGGAGCGTTAGTCGACGAAGCTCCGTTCGAGCTTGCGTCGAAGGAGCTTCGTTCGAGCTGGCGTCGAAGAGCTCCGTTCGAGCTCTGGTCGACGAACGTTGCGCGACGAGCTCAGGTCGACGAGCTCTGCGCGACGAGCTCTGGTCGACGAGCTCTGCGCGGCGAACGCTGTTCGACCGAGCGATGTCGAGTTGATCGACTGAATTTGCAGAGGTGTGCGAAACTCTGCGGAGGCGTGCGAACTTTCGCCTAGGAGGTTTTGGCGAAGTTCTACCTGCGGAACGGCATCACGTGGTCGACGGTGCGCACCTGGCGAAACCGACGACACGTTTTCTACCTGGCACATCTGCGCAGCTAGACAACCTGCGACTGCAGACAGATACCTGCGACTCCAGTGCTAGCGGACCGCGCGCAGTGCAACGTTGGCAGACTACTCTGCTGCGCTGGCAGATTTCGCCCTTGCTAGGTGTTGCATGCCATTCTAGTCCTTTTGTTCTGCATGCCTCAATTGTACTGTCAACTTTTCAATGCAAATTGTTCTTTCAACTTAGTGGAAACTCTTGCAAAACTTCTCTGTGAACATAAGCAAGAAGTAAGAACGTTAGTGCAAGCTACGATCACTCGCACAACCCCGTGTCCTCCACCATAGTCCACTCCCGTTGTGTAGTGACTCTCCGCAGCGATTGGGGCGGAGGCCGACTCGGGAGTGGTTCGGTACGATGAATTAGGCCAAACAGGTTCGTCGCGTGACCCTCGGGATGGCCTCGCTAACGAGTGCCTGAGTAAGGATTTTGTAAATCCTTACAATTGGCAGGTCAATGCCCTTCGCGAGGGTAACCAACAGGAGTTCGATTTCGATATTTCTCACTCCCTCACGAGTTTTGCTCGCCAACCATACAACCACGTCAAAAACATAATTATGCTGGGGTAGCCAGCAGCTCAAATAATCGCACCCGCGCTTCACGGCGACTCCTTGTTCAGCTCCCTACTCGGGTGCTTCGAACGCGCTTAGAAGCTCCGTACTCGGCGCAACGAACTATCGTGCCAGATGCCTAGAGCCATGGAGCTCACAGCAGTATTTAACTGCTCGCACTTACGATCATCTCAATCATCATTAGACACCAGTTCAAGGCCAGTAAGGAAAATACTCCGAGGATTACTAGTATCGTTCGAAAATCGTCAGCAGCCATGACTGTGATTCGCGCCTTCCTGGTGTTTCTCTGCACGTTTCTAGTCGCCTTGCACCTTCCCGCCGTGACGGCGGACATCGGGAACCCCATTTTTGCCGCAACTCTCGGGCATGGCGAACTCGGCGCGCCGGGCGGAAAGGCGCTGATCGCGGAAGACGTTCGCGAGAACGCGGATGTGAGGGCGATCCGTTATAGCATCCGTGCTCTCATGGATGAGCGCGAGGAGGAGGAGTCGCCCCAGGCGCGGGCTGTTCGCGTTCTGGCCGCGGGGGACGCAATGCTCTCCGCGCCGCTGCAGGGGGGAGGCGCGGATGCTGACGTGGCAGCGGAAGAGCCGAGGAGGAGCAAGAATGGCGGGAAGAAGGGCGGGAGGAAGGGCGGAAAGAAGGGGGGGAAAAAGGGTGGGACGAAGGGTGGAAATACGAGGAAGGACGAGGGGCATACGGGGAAGGATGATGATAATAAGAGGAAGGATGCGGAGAATAAGCGGAAGGATGAGGTGAATAAGCAAAAGGATGAGGAGAATAAGAGGAAGGATGCTTTTAACAAGCAAAAGGACCAGGAGAATAAGCGGAAGGATGCGGTTAATAAGCAAAAGGATGAGGAGAATAAGCGAAAAGATGAGGAGAATAAGCGAAAAATGAGGAGAATAAGAGGAAGGCTGGGGGCAATATGAGGCATGGGGGCAATACGAGGAAGGATGGGGGCAACACGAGGGAGGATGGGGGCAACACGAGGGAGGACGGGGGCAACACGAGGGAGGATAGGGGCAACACGAGGAAGGATGGGGGCAGTAAGAGGAAGGATGGGGGGAATAAGATGAACGAAAATGTGGAGAACATATAGAAGAATAGCTGAGGAGGAGGAAGAGAAGGAGGACTGAGGGAACGGTTTCTGACCAGGCGAAGGTGATGAGGAAGGTGAAGCTGAAGGCTAAGTCCAAGGCGCTTCGTTTCTGGCTCTGGCTAAGACAAAGAAGTGAGTCGAATAAGGCAAGAGTAGCAGGGGAATGGGGGTGGTGGGTGAGTATCGTGATTGGCTGTTGTGTGTGTCCACCTATGTTTGATGCGTGATGACTGGTAGGTGTGCATGTGCTCTTTCTGCTATGCTGGAAGAATATGTTTTTCTGTGGAGGTTGTTGTAACTGCTGTCTGAATAGATTGTCAATAAATGGTCAATTCAGTAGTGATGCAGTACCGGCATCATTAACCATGAAGGCTGGGCGAACAGTCTACCTTTAGCATTACAAAGAAAGTGATGAAGGTGTGACTCGACCTGTCTCCAACCCAACCCTCTCCATCATCGTTGCCGCAGGTCATCCCTCTCGGCACCGGCACCGACTTTGCTTGAACCTTTGGTGGTGCGGTGTGGTGTGGCGTGGTGCGGTGTGGTGTAGCGTGGTGGGATGTGGTGATGCGATGAGGTGTGATGTGTTGTGCCGTATGATGCAATTTAGCCAATGCACTCTGCTGCATTCGTATGTGGTGCGTCCATGGAAATGCTAAAAACAACGAAGTTTAAAGCTATATGAAGCAGTGCTCGAGAAATTCTCAAGATGCCGAGAGGGCTACAGCTTGAGAATGTGTATGATACAGCGGAATGTGAGAGGCTGAGCATCTTCAGCTGTGGCCCTCTTGCGCGCCCTGCTGCCTTTTCAGCAACCATTCTCCCCTTTTAACCCCCCTGGGTCCCTCCCTCTCTTTTCACTCATGGGGAAAAGCAGCGTGGAAATCCTTATTGCAATGTGTGTATCAAGGCCTGTGAAATCATCTACTAAACTGCGGCGTGGCAGTGGACGTGGGGCGTGTTCACCTGCCTGCCTCCTATCACCCCTCACCACCCCCGCTCACCACCGTTGACCTGACCCCTTCAACCCCTCATCCCCCTGCGACCCAACCGCAGGGAAGCGCATGGCAGACATGGCACGCGTTCACCTGCCTGCCTGCTGCCCTCCTATCACCCCTCACCACCCCTCACCACCCCTCCTCACCACCCCCCTTCAGCACCCCCCTGACCCTTCATGCCCCCACCCCCCTGGCTCTCATATCACAGCAGGGCAGCGCATGGCAGTGGCTGTGGGGCGAGTTCAGCTGCCTTCCTGCTGCTCTCGTCTCACCCCTCCTCCTCACCAACCCCCCTGGGTCCCTCCCTTTGACCCAACCCCAGGGCAGCGCATGGCAGTGGATGTGGGGCGTGTTCAGCTGCTGGCCTGCCTGCCACCCCCCTTTCATCGGTTCCCCTCACCACACCACACCGCTCTCCATCCCTCTGCTCTCCCCTTCCTCCCCACCCAACCCAACCGCAGGGCAGCGCAGGGCAGTGGACGTGGGGCGCGTTCAGCTTCCTGCCGATGTGCACCTGTGACTCTCCTTGAAGCTCGTTGTGTCCCTCTGCTTCCACAACCACACCGCACACCTCTGATCGGACTCTTCCTCTCACCCTTCTGCCTGGTCCTCTCGTTGCTGCATCCAGGAGCGCACGTGTGGGGCGGGCAGCGGTCTCTCTGAAGGCCCTGGGACCCCTTTTCCACCATCACAACCAACACCCCACATGTCTGTGTCCCATATCACTCCCCTGTCACGGTGTCACCCCCTTGCTGCCTCCAGGAGTGCACGTGTGGGGCGGGCAGCGGCCTCTCTGAAGGCCCTGGGACCCCTTTTCCACCATCACAACCAACACCCCACATGTCTGTGTCCCATATCACTCCCCTGTCACGGTGTCACCCCCTTGCTGCCTCTAGGAGTGCACGTGTGGGGCGGGAAGCGGTCTCTCTGAAGGCCCTGGGACCCCTTTTCCACCATCACAACCAACACCCCACATGTCTGTGTCCCATATCACTCCCCTGTCACGGTGTCACCCCCCTTGCTGCCTCCAGGAGTGCACGTGTGGGGCGGGCAGCGGTCTCTCTGAAGGCCTTGGGGGCTCATTGTTACCCCACCGCAACCACACCCACTCCTCTGACTCGCCCTTCTGTCTGCCCTTCTCCTTGCTGCCTCCAGGAGTGCGCGTGTGGGGCGGGCAGCAGCGGTCTCTCTGAAGGCCCTGGGGCCCCTCTGCTATGCCGTGGCGGCTTTCAAAGCCTTTCCTAAGCACCTGAACTTGGACCTGAGCATCAGAGTGAGTGCTTCTGACCTTTGAGTTGACTCAAAGTTATCTCCTCCTAAGCACTGGAACTTAGCATTGGGCTGGGCAACAGGACAGGGTGAGTGTTGCTGTTCTTCGGGTTGAGTCGAATGCCATCTCTTTTCACCTAAGAACCAGAACTTAGACCTGACATCATGGTGAGTGTACGTTGTTCGTTGCACCTCGCTGCATCAGCCTCTCAGCATCTCTGCTGACATCATAGTCACAGCACACCCTCTCAGCATCTCTGCTTCTCAGCCTCTCAGCCTCTCATCCTCTCATCTTACTCCTTCACTGCCCAGCCTTCCCCTCTTCCACCACCACCAGAAGCTCCTACCCTCCTCCCACCCTGTCATTCCTCCCTTGGCCTCTGGCTCTGTGTCTTCTTTAGAAAACATCTCCCTTGGCTCTTTGCTCCTGACGACTTGACTTTAGAGTCGACTCAAATGTCCCTTGGCCTTTGGCTCTGTATCTTCTCAAAGAGCACCTCCCTTGGCTTTTTGCTCCTGAAGAGGTGCTCTCAGGACCCATCCAGCCCCCACCGCAGTTGCTCTAGGCAGCCCCCCCCAACCTCATCATCCTTCTCCCCTCTGCCCTCCTTTCTTCCTTCCCTTCCTTCCTCCTTGCACATTCCGCAGAGGGACAACGGCCCCTGGGAAACCCTCCCAGCAGTCACCACGATCGCAGTGGGCAACGCCAACTACTTTGGAGGAAGAATGATCAACTTCCCCATTACCGATCCGATCCCCTTCCCACCCCAAGCACACCCTCTTTATCCTCCCCCATGCCCACTGCTCAGAAGGGCAACGACCCCTGGGAGACCCTCCCAGCAGTCACCACAATCGCGCTGGGCAACGCCAACTACTATGGAGGCGGCATGAAAAATAAAGATCCGTATCGTTCTTCTCCCCTCCCCAAATGCACCCCCCCTTTTCCTCTCCGTGTTCACAGAGAAACAGTGGCCCCTGGGAAACCCTCCCAGCAGTCACCACCACTGCAGTGGGCAATGCTAACTACTACGGGGGAGGCATTAAAATCTGCCCGCATGCGAGTCCCAGCTCGGATCCCTGTATGTGCGTTTAGGGTTGGGGGGCGCTGGGATAGATGGCGGTCAAGGTGGGCACCACTAGCTACTTTTGGGGAGGGATGAAGATTTGCCCACGCGCTAATCCCAGCTCGGATGATGTGCTGGGGTTGGTGAGCTGGGGTTGGTGAGCTGGGGTTGGTGAGGTGGGGTTGGTGAGCTGGGGTTGGGTCGCAGTGTGCAACGCTAACTACTACGGGGGAGGCATGAAAATCTCCCCACACGCGAATTCCAGCTCGGGATCCCTGGATGTGCGTTTGGGGATAGGGATGGCATTGTGGTGGGGATTGTGAGTCTGTGGTGTGTGTGGTAAGTAACATTGGGGTCGACTCGAATGGCAGGTACCCGAGGGCTTGAGGTGGGCAATGACAGATACTTTGGGGGCGGGAGGGATGAAGAACTGCCCACGCGCAAATCCCAGCTCGGGATCCCTGGATGTGCGTTTAGGGATATGGAGGGCGCTGGGGATTGGCAGTTGTTGGGGATTGGGGCTCGTTGGGGTGTGGTCTGATTTCATTCTGATCGTTCAGAATCTAGGGTTCAGGGTTCGCCTTCCTTGTGTGAGCACATCCACACAAGGAAGAAAGAGAGAATTGGCAGTGTTTCGAGTCGACTCGAACTCGGGTTCAGGGTTCAAACTCAAGCTCCGGTACATGTGGGTCCTTGCATTGTGGCTCAATCTTCGCTCCCTACTAAAGTGTTATGGTTCTTCCTCTTGCCTTTCCTACTCATCTGATTACCATCCCCGCCTTCACACTGTGTAGGGTTATGGAGCACGCCTCATACGGAATAGCTCAGTTACAGGACATTGGCATTCAAATCTTGTGACATTTAGCTTGAATTGCTTTGAAGTCTCATCTGTTCTCATTCAGCGGGAATAACTTTTAAGTCTGCTGAAGAGGAGCCTGCTTGCATGTCTCACCTTCCTCTCCCTTTCTCCCACCATGCTCTCTCTCTCTGTCTGCTTACACCTTACCACTGCCTTTCTCCCCTCATGCTCTCTTTACCCACTCCATTCCAGGTGGTAACCGTATCCGGTTACACCGTGCTAGGATTCACCCCTGTGCCCTCATGCTCACCTTACCCACCCTATCCCATGTGGTAACCATATCCGGTGACATGGTGCTGGGGTTCATTTTGCGTGGATTGCACCGCTTTGCATGGTTGTTGTGCCCTACCTGCCCACACCCTGCTCACCTGCATGCAATGCCTCCCCTATTGTGCTGTTTAACCGTCCCACTCCAGGTGGTAACCGTATGCGGTTACACCGTGCTGAGATTCATCCTGCGGGGATTGCATCTGTCTGCATGCTTGTGGCCCTATTTGTGTGCCGATGCCTCCCCTATTGTGTTGTTAACCCGTCCCACTCCAGGTGGTAACCACATGCGGTTACACCGTGCTAGGATTCATCCTGCGAGGATTGCACCTGTTTTCCGGCACCCACTTGGGCTTTAAAGGCGTAGATAATTACAGGTGCAGTGGGAGAATGAGAGGTGCAGTGGGAGAATGAGGGGTGCAGTGGGAGAATGAGGGGTGCAGTGGGAGAATGAGGGGTGCAGTGGGAGAATGAGGGGTGCAGTGGGAGAATGAGAGGTGCAGTGGGAGAATGAGGGGTGCAGTTGGAGAATGAGAGGTGCAGTGGGAGAATGAGGGGTGCAGTTGGAGAATGAGAGGTGCAGTGGGAGAATGAGGGGTGCAGTGGGAGAATGAGGGGTGCAGTGGGAGAATGAGGGGTGCAGAGGGAGAATGAGCGGTGCAGAGGGAGAATGAGCGGTGCAGAGAATGAGGGGTGCAGTGGGCGAATGAGGGGTGCACTGGGAGAATGAGAGGTGCAGTGTGAGGTACATTCATATGGACAAGATAAATGTGCTACATCTGTGCTATTTTAGTGGATTTACCTCGAAAGTGTGGGCATGGGATAGTGCCCACGAACTAAGGTACAGCGGGTTCATGCCACATCCTGATTCTCGTCTTCTCAATGTGGAATGGACGTCTGGTCTCCCGTGTTGCTTCCACTTTGCTTCCCCTCCTGCTTACCCCTTGCTTCCCGTTTTCTCCACCTCCTGCTCGTTACAGTGCCGAGGTGATTGAAATGAAGGTGGCGGCAGCAGAGGGTGACAATAACAAGGCCAGCCAGGAGGTGTATCATGTATGTGGATGTCAAAACATATTGTCAAACCTCCTGCTTATTTCACTCTAGGTTGTGTAGGGTTCTTTCCTTAGAGGGTACAACATTCTCTCTCGATAGTCCTTGTACCCCCCCCCCTTACCTAATCGACATTCATCACCTAGCTAGTGATTCTAACATGGTATTAAGAGCACAATGCTCCTTAGGACCGAATTTTTAAAAGGGCCCACCACTACTATTTCGATCTGCTGCCCGAGTCGTGCCCCTAGGAGAAACGCGAAATGCAAAAACGTGCCCTAGGCGAGACGGTTCCTTGTTCTGCGCTAGACGCGATTTTTTCTTCCTAGTCACGTGCGACCCCCCTGACCGAGCCCTAGCTGCCCCGTGCGCCTCTCGCGCGGCCCGTCAGCCCCTACGCCCGGTCCCCCCTCGTTCCTGCTACTGCGCGCGCCACTCACGCTGCCCGCCAGCCCCTAGCACGCACCTGCTGCGCGCTCCTCGTAGTGCTGCCCCGCACGCACCTGTTGTGCGCCCCTGGTTTGCACGCCCACAGCCCACGCGCGCCTACTGCTACTACGCGCCACCCAGCCCGAGCTGTCACTGCTGCGGCTACTGACGCTACTGCTGCTACAGCTAGTGCTACTCACTGCTGCTGCTACTGAAGCTAGTGCTGCTACAGCTAGTGCTACTCACTGCTGCTGCTACTGAAGCTAGTGCTGCTACAACTAGTGCTACTCACTGCTGCTGCTACTGAAGCTACTGCTGCTACAGCTAGTGCTACTCACTGCTGCTGCTACTGAAGCTAGTGCTGCTACAGCTAGTGCTACTCACTGCTGCTGCTACTGAAGCTAGTGCTGCTACAGCTAGTGCTACTGCTGCTGCTGCTACTACGGCACTTGCTACAGCTACTACTGACTGAAGCTACTGCTGCTACAGCTAGTGCTACTGCTGCTGCTACTGAAGCTCCTGCTGCTACAGCCCATGCTACTTGCTGCAGCTGCTCCTCCTTGCTGCTGCTGCTGCTACTTGCTGCAGCTGCTCCTCCTTACTGCTGCTGCTGCTACTTGCTGCAGCTGCTCCTCCTTACTGCTGCTGCTGCTACTGAGCGCCGGCTGCTGCTGCTGCTTGCCGCTGCTGCTCCGCCACTGAGCCCGAGCCGCGCCGCCCTGTCCGAGCCGCGCCGCCCAACCCGAGCTGTCACTGCTGCTGCTGCTGCAGCTACTGCTGCTATGGCTAACCTGTCAGTCCTTACGTTCGATGCTGAGGGCCGCGCGATTACGTTTGATGTCTGGCTCGACGATCTCCAGCTGTTCCTGCAGAGCGAGTCTAAGGATGGCATTTCCCTGTTTTTACACACTGAGGGGAAGCTCCCAGCCCTTGCTGCCGACGCTGTAGAGGATCTGTCTAAGTGGCTCATGCGTGATGCAGCTGCCCGCCTTGCTGTTTGCAACCACCTGCCCGTCACTGAGCGCGCGCACTTTAGCCGACAGAAAACGGCCAAGGATCTCTATGACGCTGTCGTTTCTCGCTACTCCTCCCCAGCTACTGCTGCTGTAGGCCGTCTCATGCTGCCGTACCTGCATCCCGATCTAGCTGAGTTCTGCACTGTCTCTGACCTCTTTACCTACCTCCGCTCTAGTGAGGATCGCTTCCGTGCCACTCTCAAGCCGGCCTTTCTCGCTAAGAACCCCCCCCCGCAGTATTTCACCCTGTACTTTCTTATCACTCGCCTCCCTGACTCCCTTCGCACTGTC